ATACTGGAGCATGCAGCACCAGTATGGTGCTGCATACTGCTGGAAGACAGGAGAGACAGGGGTAGACATGATAACGACATTTAAAATATTGAGAGGAACTGACAAGGTGGACAGGGCCAGAATGTTTGAGAGATGAGACACAGTAACAAGGGGACACAACCTGACGTTACCAACTCAGATGAGTCACAGGGATGTTCTGAAGTATTTCTTCAGTCATAGAGTTGTCAGGAAATGGAACAATCGGGAGAGTGATGTAGTGAAGGCAAGATCCACACAGAGCTTGAAGAAGAAATACTATTACAGCTCATGGAGGAGGGAGTGAACCTAGTAGCGACCAGCGAAAAGGCGGGGCCAGAAGCTGTGAATCGACCCCTTCAACCACGAACAGGTGAGCACAAATAGATGAGTACACACCTCCACCATTAACACCTCGTATGAAATACATACATGTAAGGAGCCACTACTCGACCCCTGCAACCACGTATAAGTGAGTAAACACACACACACAAAAAAAACCGTGCGCCCACCCACACCATAACGAAACAAGTTTACGTGTTTAAACCAGTTTTTTGGAAATACTGGATAAAAAACAGTAGCAGTCTGACATATGCTTAAGTGTTATATATAGCCAAGAGTAAATAACACAATAACAAACAATTAAAAACTGTAACGAAATAAACATTGAAGACTACTCCAGTGTTTACAAATACGTAATTTTACATAGATAATTACACACACACACACACACACACACACACACACACACACCACACACACACACACACACACACACACACACACATACACACCACAACACACACACACACACACACACACACACACACTACATAACACACACACACACACACACACACACACACACACACACACACACATACACACATACACACACACACACACACACACACACACACACACACACACACACACACACAACACACATACACACACACAGGTGGTGAGTATAACACCAGGCACATCTCCTGAAGCGCACATCAACCAAATAACTGCTGCAGCATATGCGGCACCAGTTTGGAACCCACACCTAGCCAAGCACGTAAAGAAACTAGAGAAAGTGCAAAGGTTTGCAACACGACTAGTCCCAGAGCTAAGAGGTATGTCCTACGAGGAGAGGTTAAGGGAAATCAACCTGACGACACTGGAGGACAGGAGAGATAGGGGGGACATGATAACGACATACAAAATACTGAGAGGAATTGACAAGGTGGACAAAGACAGGATGTTCCAGAGATTGGACACAGTAACAAGGGGACACAGTTGGAAGCTGAAGACACAGATGAATCACAGGGATGTTAGGAAGTATTTCTTCAGCCACAGAGTAGTCAGTAAGTGGAATAGTTTGGGAAGCGATGTAGTGGAGGCAGGATCCATACATAGCTTTAAGCAGAGGTATGATAAGCTCACGGCTCAGTGAGAGTGACCTAGTAGCGATCAGTGAAGAGGCGGGGCCAGGAGCTCGGACTCGACCCCCGCAACCTCAACTAGGTGAGTACAACTAGGTGAGTACACACACACACACACACACACACACTGCTGTTTCTGGTATTTGTGAACGACATGACGGAAGGAATAGACTCCGAAGTGTCCCTGTTTGCAGATGACGTGAAGTTGATGAGAAGAATTCACTCGATCGAAGACCAGGCAGAACTACAAAGGGATCTGGACAGGCTGCAGACCTGGTCCAGCAAATGGCTCCTGGAGTTCAACCCCACCAAGTGCAGTCATGAAGATTGGGTAAGGGCAAAGAAGACCGCAGACGGAGTACAAACCTCACTCAAGGAAAAAGATCTTGGGGTGAGTATAACACCAGGCACATCTTCTGAAGTGCACATCAACCAAATAACTGCTGCAGCATATGGGCGCCTAGCAAACCTCAGAACAGCATTCCGACATCTTAATAAGGAATCTTTCAGCACCCTGTACACCGTGTATGTTAGGCCCATATTGGAGTATGCGGCACCAGTTTGGAACCCACACCTAGCCAAGCACGTGAAGAAACTAGAGAAAGTGCAAAAGTTTGCCATAAGACTAGTCCCACAGCTAAGAGGTATGTCCTACGAGGACAGGAGAGATAGGGGGGACATAATAACGACATACAAAATACTGAGAGGAATTGACAAGGTGGACAAAGACAGGATGTTCCAGAGATTGGACACAGTAACAAGGGGACACAGTTGGAAGCTGAAGACACAGATGAATCACAGGGATGTTAGGAAGTATTTCTTCAGCCACAGAGTAGTCAGGAAGTGGAATAGTTTGGGAAGCGATGTAGTGGAGGCAGAATCCATACATAGCTTTAAGCAGAGGTATGATAAAGCTCACGGTTCAGGGAGAGTGACAGGAATGCTACACTGGCAGGAAAAAACGCAAGAACGTGTGGAGGACAGATGAAAAGACAAAAGAAAAGCGGAAGGGTTTACCTGACATAAAGATCACAGTAATAAGGTTGAGTCAGGAAGCAGCGTTCACAAGGTCGTCAAGTAACAAAGGTCACATCGAGGTGCAACAAAACAATAAAAGCAATAAATTAACTTACAGTAGAAAGTCTGGACGCTATCAGATAGATAAATGTCTATTGAAACATCTATATTATTAATGAATAGTTTGTAACATGAGACCGAATGAAATGGCATAAAATAATAATAATAATAATAATAATAATAATAATAATAAATAATAATAATAATAATAATAATAATAATAATAATAATAATAATAATAACAATAATAACAATAATAATAATAATAATAATAATAATAATAATAATAATAATAATAATAATAATAATAATAATAATAATAAAAACAACAGTCACAAACAGATCTGTTTGTGACTTGATTATAATGCATTTGTTTCTTCTGTTCCAGTGTTCCAGTGTTCCAGTGTTCCAGTGTTCCAGTGTTCCAGTGTTCCAGTGTTCCAGTGTTCCATTGTTCCATTGTTCCAGTGTTCCAGTGTTCCATGCGATAATGACCTAGTAATGTCAGCGTGAACTACTGTCCTTGTTGTTGTTGTTGTTGTTGTTGTTGTTGCTGGGGGACTACTATTGTTGTTGTTGTTGCTGGGAAACTACTGTTGTTGTTGTTGTTGTTGTTGTTGGGGAACTACTATTGTTGTTGTTGTTGCTGGGAAACTACTGTTGTTGTTGTTGTTGTTGTTGCTGGGGAACTAGTTTTGCTGTTGTTTTTGTGGAACTGCTGTTACTGTTGTTATTGTTGTTGCTAAGGAACTACTATTGTTGTTGTTGTTGTTATTGTTTGATGAACTGCTGTTGTTGTTATTGTTGGGTGAACTACTGTTGTTATTGTTGCTATTATTGGGTGAACTATTGTTGTTTCTGCCAAGGTTCCAGGTGTTCCATGCACAAGTTGGCTAAGACAGCGCTGATGGGGGACCCCATTCCCATACCATAGGTTTGTTTGTAGAGACTGTTGTTGAAAGAAAAGCAGACGTTAATGTAGAGTCCGTTCAGGTCAACGAAATCTCTGGGAGGTAGAGGGAGGTAGAGGTCATGAGTGACTACGTCGTAGAACGTCAATGGCTTGTGTAGACGTAACTTCCCTCTTCACTACACAAGCCATTGACGATCTCCGACGTAGTCACTCTGGATCTTAATCTTTCTCTACCTCCAGGAGATTTCGATGACCTGATCGAGCTCCTTTCAACAACAGTCTCTACAAACAAGCCTATGGTATGGGAATGGGGTCTCCCATCAGCGCTGTCTTAGCCAACTTGTGTATGGAACACCTGGAAGGTGAACATTTCACCAGTATCATCCCACCAGCGTCACTTGGTTACGTTAGGTGGACGACGTCCTCATAATAACTCTCGAACGTTTTGATGTGCGGAATCTTCAGGCAAGGCTCAACGTAGTTGAACCGGCTATCCAATTTACACTTGAAGAATCCAATGACAAGTTACGTTTTCTAGACGTCCTCATTTACAAAGTAGATAACACTCTAAGGTTTACAGGAAGCCTACAAACAAAAGCAATCTCAGACACTTCTATTCCAGTCAACATACTAAGACCAAAAGAGGCATCATGATTATCGGATTTTTTTTAAGAGCATCCCCAATTTGTAGTCCAGAGTTTCTTGACGAAGATTGTACATACAGACACCAAACCTTCACCGAGCTACATTTTCCTTCCTTTTTCATCAAGGACTGCAAGAACTCTTCAGATCATCAACTCACCACTCAGTAACACCACTCCTAACAAAGTTATAACCCTTCCTTACTGCCAAGTTACACTGAACGTCTCTAAAGTACTCGCACAAGCTGATACTAGAGTCGTCATCACAACCAGCACTTCCATAAAAAAAAACTTGACTAGGAAAAGCTTGAAGAACCTTGAACCAGTCAATGCGGGGATTTACACTATACCCTGTGGAGGTTTGATGGAATATACGTAGGTGGAACAGCAAGAAACCTCGAAACACGTCTCAGTGAACACATTAATGCATGTAGGAACGATAATTTGAACAATGCCTGTGTACAATGCCTACTACTACTACTACTACTACTACTACTACTGTTGCTACTGCTATTATTACTACCACTAATACTACTACTATTACTATCTATAACGATTATATTATGATATCTCTCTCTAATACCTTATATATACCCTCTGTGTCACTGTATTGTTTGTAACGGCTTGACAAATCTCATTTTACCTAACAGTATAAGTGGTGTACAAAAGAGTACCAATGATGTACATAGCAATACCAGTGGTGTAAATAGCAGCACCAGTGGTGTAAATAGCAGTACCAGTGGTATACAGTGGCTGAAATGCTAAGGGAAGTGGCAACAGTCCCACCGTGTGGACTGAAGTACCCAAATAACACCCTAAAAACACACACACACACACACACACACACACACACAGGCGGGCCAGGAGCTGAGTCTCGACCCCTGCAACCACAATTAGGTGAGTACATGCAAGTGAATGTCTTACTTGTCCGGCCATGGGATAGCCATGTACTGCTGCCACCACCTGATGGCTACGAAGAGAAATCGTAGAAGCCCAGATGAAGGAAAGAGGGATGTAGTTCATGTAGGAGTCGCAGAAGAGCACCGCAACCTCGAACCTCCTGTAGGTGAAAACAAGAAGCTGGGGTTAAGAAGGAAGGTGCTGCCTTCAGCTTTTGGCTTGCTGATCACCCAATACATACTCTCTATTAAATATTTTTTTAATTGTCTCCCCTTAGTGGTTACGCGGTACAAAAAAAAGAGAGAGAGATGGATAAAAAATCGTGATGGAAGAATCGAAGTTAATTACAAGTGAGTGGAGAGAAGGCGAGTGTACCACAGCAGTGTACCACACCAGTGGACCAGCACCAGTGTACCAGTACCAGTGTACCACACCAGTGTAACAGCACCAGTGTACCAGCACCAGTGTACCACACCAGTGTAACAGCACCAGTGTACCACACCAGTGTACCAGCACCAGTGTACCACACCAGTGTAACAGCACCAGTGTACCAGCACCAGTGTACCACACCAGTGTACCACACCAGTGTACCACACCAGTGTACCACACCAGTGTACCACACCAGTGTACCACACCAGTGTACCAGCACCAGTGTACCACACCAATATACCAAGTACCCGTGCACCACACCAGTGTAACACACCAGTGGTACCACACATGTCCCAGCACCAGTGTATAACCACCCGTGTACCACTCCAGTGTACCCACACCAGTGTACCACAACCAGTGTAATACCACACCAGAGTACCACACCAATGAACCACACCAGTTGTACACACCAGTTACCACACCCGTGTAACCAGCAACCATGTACCACACCAGGTACCACACCAGTGTACCACACCCAGTGTACCACACCATGTACCACGCCATTGTACCACACTCAGTGTACCACACCATTGTACCACATACGAAGTGTACCAGCACCAGTGGTACATTCAACAATGGTAATCACACCAGTTAACACACCAGTGTACCACACCAGTGTAACGACAACAATGTACACACCTGTGTACACACCAGTGGTACCACACCAGTGTACCATCACCCATGTACCAGTAACCAGTGTACCACACCATGAAACACACCAGTTATACCACACCAGTGTGCCACACCAGTGTACCAGCACCAGTGTACCACACCAGTGAACCACACCAAGAACCACACAGAGTACCAGCAACCATTGAACCAGCAACAGTGTAACCAGCAGCAGTGTACCAGCAGCAGTGTACCAGCAGCAGTTGTAACCACACCAGTGTACCACACCGTGTACCAGCACCAGTTGTCCAGCACCAGTGTAAACCACACCAGTGTACACACCAGTGTACCAGCCACAGAGTACCACACCAGTGTACCAACTCCCAATGTTACCACACAGTGTACCAGCACCATTGTACCAGCACAGAGGTACCAGCCCCATGTACCAGCACCAGTGTACCAGCACCAGTGTATCACAAAAGTGTACCAGCACCAGTGTACCACACCAGTGTACCAGCACATTGTAACAGCAACCAGAGTACCAAGCACCTAGTGTACCACACCAGTGTACCACACCAGTGGTACCCACACCAGTGTATACCACACCAGTGTACCACACCAGTGTACCACACCAGTGTACCACACCAGTGTACCACACCAGTGTACCACACCAGTGTACCAGCACCAGTGTACCAGCACCAGTGTACCACACCAGTGTACCACACCAGTGTACCAGCACCAGTGTGCCCAGTCACCATAGTACCACACCATGTGTACCTATCACCATTAACCACACCAGGTACAGCGGCAGAACACGACACCAAGTGTACCAGCACCATTGTACCGCAGCAGGACACACCCCAGTGTACCATCAGCAGGACACACACGAGTGTACCAGCAGCAGGACACACAACGAGTGTAGCCCAGCACAGGACACACACCAGTGTAAGTGTACCAGCAGCATGACACACCATTGTACCACCCAGGACACACACCAGTGTACCAGCAGCAAGAACACACCACCAGTGTACCAGCAGCAGGACACACACATTGGAACCACATCAGGACACACACACCATTGTACCACAGCAGACACACACACCAGTGTACCAACACAGGACACACACCAGTGTCCAGCAGCAGGACCACACACCGTGTACCATCAGCAAGACACACACCAGTGGTACTAGCAGCAGGACACACACCATGTAACAGCAGCAGGACACACACCAGGTGTACCACAAGCAGGACACACACCAGTGTTACTCATCAGGACACCCATATACCAGTGACCACAGCAGGACACACACCAGTGTATCCAGCAGCAGGACACACACGCAGTGTACCAGCAGCAGGCACACACCATAGAGAGCTATCAGCAGACAACACATCCAGTGTACCAGCCACAGGACACACACCAGTGTACCATCATCATGACCCACAACCATGTACCACAGCAGGACACACACCATGTACCACAGCATGACACACACCAGTGAACCAGCAGCAGGACACACACTTATCCAGTGTAACCGAGCAGCAGGACACACACCAGTGTACCAAGCAGCAGGACACACCCCATGACCAGCCGCAGAATCACAAACCAGTGACCAGCAGCAGGACACAACACCAGTGAACCAGCAGCAAGGACCACACACACCAGTGTAACCAGCAGCAGGGACACCTACAACCAGTGTACCAAGCAGCAGGGCACACACCAGTGTACCAGCAGCAGGACACACACCAGTGTACTCAGCAGCAGGACACACAGAACCCAGTGTACCGCATCAGGACACACACCAGTGTACCATCATGCAGGACACACACCATTGTAGCAGCAGCAGGACACACACCGTGTACCACAGCATGACACCCACCAGGTGAACCAGCAGCAGGACACACACACCAGTGCAACCAGCAGCAGGACACACACCATGTACTCAGCAGCATGACACACCACCAGGTACCAGCAGCAGGACACCACCATTGTACCCGCATCAGGGACACACACCAGTAACCATCATCAGGACACACACCATTGTACAAGCAGCATGACACAACATCCAGTGAACTAGCAAGCAGACACACACCAGTGTACCAAGCAGCAGGAACACACCAGTTACCAGCAGCAGGACACCACAACCATGTACCAGCACAGACACACACCAGTGTAACCCCAGCAGGACACACCCCATGTACCAGCACAGGACCACTCCATGTAGCCAGCAGCAGGACCACACACCAGTGTACTAGCAGCAGGACACACACCAGTGTACCAGCAGCAGGACACACACCAGTGTACCAGCAGCAGGACACACACCAGTGTACACAGCATGACACACACCAGTGTACCAGCAGCAGGACACACACCAGTGTACCAGCAGCAGGACACACACACCAGTGTACCAGCAGCAGGACACACACCAGTGTACCAGCAGCAGGACACACACCAGTGTAACCACACACACACACACCAGTGTACCAGCAGCAGGACACACACCAGTGTACCAGCAGCAGGACACACACACCAGTGTACCAGCAGCAGGACACACACCAGTGTACCAGCAGCAGGACACACACCAGTGTACCAGCAGCAGGACACACACACCAGTGTACCAGCAGCAGGACACACACACCAGTGTACCAGCAGCAGGACACACACCAGTGTACCAGCAGCAGGACACACACCAGTGTACCAGCAGCAGGACACACACCAGTGTACCAGCAGCAGGACACACACCAGTGTACCAGCAGCAGGACACACACCAGTGTACCAGCAGCAGGACACACACCTGGCCTCACTTTCCTGTTCCTAACCAGAATAAAATAACAAAATACGTCTATGTAACGCTATCATTTATTCTCACTGTGCAACGAAACTATTACCTACGACACGAAATATTTCATTTCAGTCGTGCAGTCACGAATTCGGCAAAATAACTGGCAAAGTACAACGAAAATAACATTTAAGACCTTTGGCTGCTACCTTTAAATAAAGATATCCCTGAGCACACCGTACAGTACAATACCCTGACACACCGTACATTTACAACACTGAGCACACCGAACATGTTCAACCTGAGCACACCGTACAAGTACAAACCCTCAGCACACCCGAACATGTACAACCCTGAGCAGGCACCGTACATGTTCAATCCCTGAGCACACCGTTACAAGTAACAACCCTCAGCACAACCGTAACCATGAACAACCCTGAGCAAACCGTACATTACAACCCTGACAAAGTCCGTACCAGCACAATACAGTACTGGCAGTAACAGTTAAATTACATGAACAATGATTGGTCAATGTTTATTTTTAGTTTATTTTTGAGTGATTAATGTGATAATTTATATCTTACCGTCGCATTATAATGGTATGCAATAACTTACCGTGCAGTATGATTAATGGTATGCAATCGGTCTTACCGGCAGTAAATGATAATGGCATGCAATGTCTTAACAGTGCAGCAAGATAATGTTATTGCCAATATCTTAACGTGCAGAGTATGATAATGGTATGCAATGTCTTACCGTGCAGCATGATAATGGTATGCAATGTCTTACCGTGCAGTATGATAATGGTATGCAATATCTTACCGTGCAGTATGATAATGGTATGCAATATCTTACCGTGCAGTATGATAATGGTATGCAATATCTACCGTGCAGCATGAAAATGGAATGCAATGTCTTGACGTGCAGTATGATAAATGGGTATGCAATATCTTCCGTGCAGCAGATAATGGTATGCAATATCTTAACCGTGCAGTATAAAAGGTATGCAAACTCTTACCGTGCAGCATGATAATTGTATCAATATCTTACCGTGCAGCATTATAAAATGTTATGCAAATATCTTACCGTGCAGCATGATAATGTGTATGCAATATCTTACCTGTGCAGTATGATGAATGGTAATCAATCTCTAACCGAGCAGTATGAAAATGGTATGCAATGTCTTACCGTGCTGCATGAAATGTAATGCGATGTTTCTTCCCGTGCAGTATGATAATGGTATGCAATATCTTACCGTGCAGTATGATAATGGTATGCAATATCTTACCGTGCAGCATGATAATGGTATGCAATGTCTTACCGTGCAGTATGATAATGGTATGCA